ATCAGGGTTTTGTGATGGCTGCTTCCAAAGTATTGACTAAAAGGCTTAACAAATGGTTTCTTAGGGTTGATGGTAATCTAGGCTTCAACAAAATATCTAAGGATGATACTATAACTCCATTAATCTATCTTTAAATGGACGGTTTCAAGGCATGTCCCTCTTACAGGAGTCCACTGAGAAAACCCAGAATTTACCGGGGGAACCATAAAAGGTTCTTCTATGTTACCAATCTCTGGGTCCCAGAGAATAAGCTGCATAGTGTCATCATTTGGTTTAAATTAGGAATAAGTAAAATTTGGCCTACTGATGAACCGATGTTCAACGTCTAACACCCAATGACCATCAGAGAGATGGTTTCACCAGGGGAAAAAAGTCTTCAGCTGCTACTAAAATGCTAAGAAGGGACAGGACTTCTTTTAAAGGGCACACAATGTGACCATTAGTATGCAAAGAGAGACTGGGATCAATGTTTTATGCCTTGATACACCTCCCTGCATCTGTAGACATGGCTGCTCAGATTTTGCTGAGAAACAGGTGCCCCTTTAAACTATACTTGGCTTAGTTGTAAAATAATAGGCTGCCTTGAGGATTGTCTACTTTAAAGAGGAAAAGAAAACAAGAGCTGGAAAAACTCTTTTTAAAACATCGATAAAGTTGTGTTTTTTTCCTGAGAGAGACGTTATTAACACTAGTACACCATGGTTGTGTCCAAATGTTCCCCCAAATCACTAAATAGTGGTTACACCATTTTAAATCAGTGTCCAAATGTCTAGTGGATGAAAAAGTAGTGGACTCGAAATTTACCACAATATACCTTGAAAAGTGGTGTTCATCAATGGTCATTAGATGAGCAGATATATCCCAAAATGCATTGTTGTGACTGTGTCTGGCTGTCTGGTTGCGATAGTGGCAACAAATAAAAAAGATGGCGCAGTCACTGTGCGGGAAGGCAGAGTCACGTGACCAACAGGACCAAAAGTAATGATCATTTGACCAAACGGTAAGTTAACTGATTTCACTATAAAGTCTGCTATATAGTTCCTGCTCTATATAGTGACTGAGGGGTTTAGGGGTTCAGACGGACGTTCAGACACACCCCAGGTCTCTCTTCGCCATATATCTTAAAAGCAACTTTTGTTCTTTTTCATCTTGCTCATCATATTTTTTAGCACCACCCTCTGGCTTTGAGTATTATATTGCGTCATGTTGCTGACAGTCAGCACAGGATCAGTAATCTTTTAATTTTACCAACATGTTTGTTATATCTAGATAAAGATAAATTATGGAAAATAATTGGAAAAATAGAAAGGTTTGCTCTGTAATTCCAATGTAGATTGATATTAAGAAGGGTATAAAACTTTTAGGACACGTCAATCTTAAAAAAAAGAGACAAAAAGACAGATTTGAAGTCTGGGTGATGTAGAATTTTTTTTTTTCATAGATTGAAAATTAACTTCTCTACAGGTTTGAACAGTTTAAAGCCAGTTTGTCTGAATATATAACAAAATAATTGTGTAAAGATCTACTAGATCTTCACCAATGAAAACCGTTTACCAGAGCTTCATTGTGAGAAAAAAAAACAATCTGTTCTAAGTAAACATATAAAGCTTTTCCAGCAGCTACAAGGCATCTTACAGCTGCAGCTTTAAGGGTGGCTTCATGGTTCTGACACATTTGATCATCTGACCGTGTTAAGAAGTTTAAAACTTTAATGCTGAGTCTGGTTTAAAAAGGCAGAACCCAAAAAAAAAGTTGGCAGCTCAGAGACTCTGAATCCTCAAACAGCCAGAAAAAAGTGCTTAAAAAAAAAAAAAAAAAAACATTTCTTCGCCCCTCTACTGAATGGATTACTCTCTAAGCCCTACCCATAAATCCCATCTCTTTAAACCTTTGAAATATTATTTAGATATGCATGATATTCCATATAAGTAAATTTAAGTCCTGAAATGTTTTTTTTTCCATTTGTTAAAATATTTAAAATAATTCCAGAAACATGGTCATATCATGAAAAATGGCTTCTTTTGTACAGTACTCCTTTTCACCCGGCTGCTGGTAGTCCTTCATTATTCATGTCAAGAGACATAAAAAAACAGAGCACTTACTGCCTTACCAGCCTCCACCTTCCTTCGCCTGAATGCATGAGAGAGCATAAACAGAGTGTGGGTGCTTAGTGAGGACACAGAGTAAAATCAAGGCTTTTTAGGGTAGGATTTCACTTTATGAAAAGATGTGCATTTGTTCCAATCAATAAAGATATTATTCAGTTAGTCCACACACATCATATAATCTGTTGTAACCCCGATGAGTTAAATCAAAGATTAAACAAAAATAGCTTCACTGAAGCATTTTCTCATTTGTTTTTTTTTTTTCCTTATGCAAAGGAAATTTGTACTGTCCTATAAATCTTCCTTATTTCATTGATGTTTTCTCTCTAAGCAGGACAAATAGACAGCATTTTCTGAAAGGGCCTTGCATTGATTTAAGGTGCTGATGTTGCTCTCCTTTGTGATCTGTGTCCGGATCGATACAGGCTCTAGAGGGAGTGTTTTTTATTTATTTTTTTTACCATAGCTCAACATCACAGACATGGAGGTGAGAGACCAGAGTGTGCATGTGCCATGTCTCTGCAAAGTAAGTGTACACAGTCCTTTTAAAAATGCCAAACTGTAATAATGTAAAAAAGAATTGAAAACATGATAGATTAGTTTGATTCATTTATTACTTCATGTTATAAAAACGTGACAATTAAAGCTAAAATTATCCAGAGAGAAAACAAAAGAATAACTTTCTTTGAATAGATACAACTAACATTTTACATTTGAGACACCACAAAAGAGGATAGTTTGGCAAAATAAGCTGAAAATGTTTGACTACAAAATAACTTTTACCAACTTGAAAATTTTTTCAATTATCTGGCGATGCTTTACTGCAAGAGGACATGGCCATCTCACTATCATGAGACTACCAAGAACCTTGTTAATTTTCAGAAGGTGCATGAGGGAAACGTGTACCCATTTGTAAAAAAAATAAAAATAAATCAGAACAAGAACTTGCACAAACCCAAAACATACCAGTTAATCCCAGTTAATACCAGTTAAATCACTGTGACATGGTGTGCATATGATGCCGTCATGTATTTATATGCTTCTCCTGAGTTATTCCTCTATACGGAAAATTGTTTTAATTTTCGCAAAATGACTGCAAACTACACGCTTCATATAAAGAATACTAATCAGCATATTTTAGAAAGTTCCAGCAGGATCATCGACTTCACTATTAATAAAGGCGGAAACTTAAGAAGGCAAACCTGGAATTGAGTTAAAAGGTGTTTACACAAAGTGCTGGTTATAGATTGTGTATATTTATGTAGGCAGGATAATTTAAAACCATGTTGGAAAAAAAGAATCTTTAAACTTTAGAGACAATAGTTGAAGGCATATTCTGGTCAGCACTTTCATTGTCCTTGATTTATGTTAGGTTGCCAGCAAATTCGTCAAAAGCCCCACATTCATCCAGGAGTTATAGAAGGCCTGCAGGGGCTACATCATTGGGGTCTTTTATCTCTCTGTCCCTCTGCAGTGTAAACCTATCCTAACACAGAGGCAATCTCAGTTCTGCAGGCCTATGTGTCATTTCCCTGAGAAAAGACAAATCTAACATTACTGAGTGTCATGCATCCATCCATCCATTCATCCTTCATATTCTGTTAGGGTTACGATGGGGCTGGTGCTTATCTCCAGCAGCCTATGGGCAGAGGAAGGGTACAACCTGGATAGGTTGCAGCACAGAGACATGTGGAAAGAAGCTGGAGTACCCTGGGAGAACCCATGCATGCATAGGGAGAACATGCAAATTCCAAGTAGAAATACCACGGGCGAGGAATCAAACCCACAGCATTCTTGCTGCAAGGCAACAGTGCTACAAACTACACCACCATGCATCATGACTGATGCTGAACAAAACAAATAAAGTACATGTTTCTTCTTATAAAATGATAAAAGTGAAACCATGAAACATGTATTTCTGTTCAACCATTGTTTTAATGGCACTTAATCTAAATGAGGAAATTGACTTACAAGACTGCATTTTAAATTGATAAAGATGAAGGTCAGGATGAGCCCTACTTCCTGATTTAATGCATTTAAGCCTCAATGAGGAGTTCCTAAAGATTGCTAAGAGAGGACTTCACATAAGCCAGCTGTTATCCCTGCTTGAGGTGAGTGTAAAGCACATTAAACTAGTAGAAGATGAAATGAGAAGGAGTGAAAGGCAGGGAAATTGCTCGTGCAAGCTTTTCTGTTTTAGGACTCCCAAATGAAACCACACTGCAAGGACTTGAGGCTTCCCATTCATCATGTCTCACATGCACACACATAAATCACCCTGTCTTCCGATACTTGGGGTAAATAAAGCGATATACATACTGCATAAAAATGAAATACAGCTCTTCCTCACTGATGTGCTCTCAGATGGCTCTGCAATGCACCATCCTCCATCAGTCCGGAATTGCCCATTTGAAATAGAAAATTTGCCAATGGCAGCTGGGAATACATTTTTATTGCCATTTTTTTTTTTAACTCAAAGGACAGAAGAAATAAACAGCTCAGCACTCCTGTTGTTTTTCTGCCATTTCTGCTTGTTCATAAATGATTGAGATCTAATTCATTAATACCGGTAATGTGAAACAGTTAAGGAGCTGCAGGTAAAATAGAACATTCCCTGGATTACGCATAAGAAACTATAAACTTAAAACAATTTAGCAGGTCAAAAGAAGCAGGCATGCAAATGTTGAACGGTCAGTGCCAAGCCTTATGTACCAGGAGATCGTACTTCAACTAAACTGGCAAATAGGGTAAGGAGAGGATTGTTCAAAGGAGCAAAAAGAGGTACAGAGATTCAAAGCTCATTTGCACTGACAATATCTGGTGTAAAAAGTAATACTGAACATTATCCTTTGGTTATTAACACCTGATCTCTAATTTTTTCTTTGTGTGTTCCAGTCTAGAAACAGTCTCCAGAATGGGGATATAGATGGAGCCAGAAGGCTGGGTCGACTGGCTCGTCTGCTGAGCATCGTCTCCATTTTCCTGGGAGTTCTCATCATTGTCGTCTATACCTCAGTTCACTTCACAGGTACTCAACCTAACCAGATTGGCCAAAATTTAAAACACTACAGTAAAATTTAATCTTATAGTAATTAGTTTTCTTTGTCCAAAGAGATGGATAAGGTTAAAAAATGTGAGTATGCATGGTGTCGATCTGGATATTCCTACTGTTAAGTTTTTATTAGAGCGGCACCCTGGGAAAATGTAATTTGAGGGGCTGATTTTACCAAATAGCACTCTGTTGTGCTGAAATTAAGAAAAAGTCTTAATTCTAACAGAAAGGGTGAGTCCTAGGAACAAGAAGTGACCTAAAACAGTCACGGTGTTGTTTAGGATGGTGAGTGGAAGGCAGTTGAGGCTTGCTCTGTAGGAGTCCACCATCATTTCAAAGTGTCATGAGCAGATTAAGCCCTAGATGGTTCTGATAACACCAGTGGACCGGCTGATCCACTTTGAGTCTACATGTGAGCTTCTCACCATCCTGGATTAGACCCAAAAAAGATGCTTCAGGGGTTTTACAGCTCTGTCCATTATGGTGCATTGGTGTAAAGAGAGAAATGGAGTGGGGTGAGAACACACCCCTGGGGGACGCCACTGCTGATGGTTCTTCTGCAGGTTAAGATGCTCCCCAGTTGTTTCTACAAACTGATCTGTAACACGTTACTACATGATTTAATTGCCACATAAGGAATGTATGTCTTTACATGTCACCTCACAATACAATTTCCAGGTTACACATATTAGTTCATGATGAAATCAAACCTGTGAAAAATGTTCCCATGTATTTAACATGTCACAACACATTGTAACATTAAATTATCCTCAGAGAGCCTGAATGAAACATATCGAGATTACTTTAAGAGATTATAAGACCATGTGGTAGAACCGTACCTCTCTAATTTGGAATATTATTTTGTTGTGATATATAATAAACACACTAACTCATAAAACATTTAAATAGTTTGTGCTGACTTGTGTTTTTTCTTAACCCTAACCCTCTTTGTCCCTTTTTTCCCTATCTTGTTCTTTTTCTAGCTTTAAAATAACAACCTGGAGGAGCAAATGTTACGTCGAAGCCAAACCACAGAAGCAACAAAGAAAAAAGGACTGCTCAAACAAAAATGGAGTACCCTACTTTATGCCAAGAAGTTACAGCATCAAAATTAACTTCAGGTAGCAAAAAATGTTGGCCAGTCATGAATGGCGGCCTAAAAACAAAGAAGCAAATAAAAGTATATATCACTGACAGATGCATGCATTAGAACCCAGTAACATTTGCCTGACAGAATATCTTCATATTGAATTGTTGAAGTTTAAGAAAGAGGAAGGACTGAATGCAGATCTGTGTGATTATTACAGGAAGCTACATGTTTGTTTTTCCCTTTGTGAACAATGGACTTTTGGATGTGAAGGCGAAGATTTGTGTATGTAGAGCAGATAAATGATGGATTTTCTATCAGGCTCCTTTAAAGAAAAATCTATGAACTTAAGATGGCTCGTTTAATCTTCATATATATTCTAAATGATCCTCTTGCATTTGAAGCATTATACAGGAAATAATATATTTGAAATATGGAAATGTATTATTGAATAGAAGATATTGATTTTATAAGATGTTTGTATCCAAAGTGTTATTAAGTTTGTTAAAGCTGTCCTTATAGCTGCTTCGCCAGCAATTGGAAAAAAAAAAGAAATCCCCTCGAAATTCAAGAGTTTGTTACAGAAAAATTGGTTCTTTTTGTCTCGTCGTATGATTTGGTTTACCAGTTTAAAAAAAGAGAGAAAACAACTGCATGCCAGAATGTAAATAGCCCAACACTCTGCCTTCTTTTAGACTGTTATAGTTTTTTTTTCTATCTTTTAGGAACAAGCACTTTTGCACATGAAACAGTTATGTGTGTATTTTCTTTCCTTGGATAGTTATCATCACTTTAGTCCTGCCACCATTTACAAATCAAGCCTATAGTACAAACATTGTTCTTCCCAGTTTCATCTGTCCTTCAATCCTTTCAGATGCTTTTATACATTTACAAAGTTTCTAGGCATTATACATTGCTATACCTTGACTGTTACAACCCGTTCAATCATTGAATGTTTCATTCCTCCTTGTATGGGTATGTAATGTATTTATATATATATATCTAAATATATATATGCAATATCTTCGCATGTAATGGGCCTAACAGCCTGATAAGCACTTATTTTTGTAAAAGAGCAAGTGTACGAGTTTGCCTAAGAACAACTTGCATTTAAGAAGTCTTACTTAAAATGATGGCATGACAAATTGTCTGGATTTGTCACTTTAAGAAAAACCTGTATGTTTAGACATATGTAGATGTTGTATATAGACATGAAAAGGCTTATGCTCCAAAGCTCTGATAATAATCAGTGAGTCATGTTGCATTATTCAAAAGGGTTTGTCTTTTTTCTGTGGCCATTAAAGTGTATTTTTGATCCAATTAAAGCTAAAATGCATTTAACTGGGTACCATTTGTTGAGTTCTAATGGTCATTTAAAAGCTTTATAGAATTGCAATTGCAACAATGCAGCTGATATAATCTGAAGTCCTCTAGTGAACATCATCGGTCAAGGCTGTTCAGTTGCAGATTGATGTTCTTTTCTCAGTCATAGCTGTGCAGAAAAAATTATTTATCTGAACATCCAAGAGCAGCAAAAATCCAAAGACTCCTCATAATTACTTATCACAGCTCGAGCTTCATTTGAACTTTCTTCATCTGCTGTGTTTAGGAGGCATTTGTTCACCATTTTCACCTCTGTAATGTCACAGTTTTTTTTCTCTTATATTGTATGTGCCGGTTCTCATTTCTGTAGTGTACCTTTTGCATGTGAGGAATAAATGTAACCATGCATGGTCCAAGTTTTGTCTTTTGGTGATAACTTTCAGGCTTAAACACTTTGGAGTCAGAGGATGGGCTGTAAAGGGGTTTCTTTATTTTTCTCCCTTTAAGTTTTAACATCAGATTCTAAGTAATGACAGTAGAGTTGGATGCAGGAGTTTGCCCTGTAACTGGAGGGTTATCTGTTCAAGCCCGGGCTCTGGCTTTCAAGAGGCCTTTGAGGTGGTCAGAGGGTCCGGTGGGACCTGTGCACAGCATCCTCAACTCCTTCAGTGAGCCCAAGGGCAGCTGTGGCTAGTTTGAATCTGCCATCATCAGTGTGTGTGTTTGTGAATGTAGTATAAAGTACTTTGGTCAAGTGTAGTCTCCTGACTTCAAAAAGCACTATACTCTATGAGTACAGGGCATATAGAGCTGCTGTTTGCAGCCACTGGTAAAGAAAAATTATTTAATCAATTAGGAATTGTTTTTTTTAGATTATTAGTGGCACACCTCTTTGATTTCTTAATATATAAGTATTATAAAGAGCATAAAGTAGTGGTGTCCAAGTTTTCTGCCAATCCAGAAATTTATATATTCAAGCACTAAGGAGCCACAAACTTATTAAAACAACACAATGTAAGTTTTGACCCAAGCTAGTGCTGAAGTCAAGACCACACCAGACAAGGACTATCGAGGCAAGACCAAGACCATATAATGGTCTCGGCGTCTAAAGTTCTCTGTACTCCTTGGTTTCGGTTGGTGTTGTCTTGTCTACAGCACTAACCCAAGTATCAGCCTAATTTAAGATATATAAAATGGTTTTCTCAATCAATATAGAGTACTTGTTGCGTATTGATGCTCCTTTAAGGTCATCCATCTCAAAAACATGCCAGTGTAACTTCAGCGGGTCGGCTGTGTTGCTAAATGAGTTTTGTGACCCAGAGTGTCGCTTTACTAGTCTGATAAACCAGACTAAATGTGAGATTAAATGTGTAATTTAGTCTGGCCTCAATGAATGAGACATCGGAAGATTGTTAATGACAACAACCGGTTGTCTTTCAAACCATTTCTGTGCCTATTGGCCAACGTTTTTACCAATGAGCGCAACTGACTGTGACATAGTAAGTGCGACAGAAAGCTGATGAGGGAGTGTAAACAAACAGCCTGTCGGTAAAACTGAGAATATGTCCTTCTTAATAATGAATGAGCGTAGAGTCTCTTCCTGCTCACGTTTCAATGAAAACCCCAAGTCTAATCATTCCAAAACTGATTCCAAAACTGATTCAAACTCTTCAAGAGTTGTTGCTATCTTCCTTGTTGTGCTTTCTCCAGCGTCACGCCCTCACAACCCCGCCCGCTTTGCATCCAGAAATTCAAAACACATCTCTGCGTTGTGATTGGTCAGCCAGTTCTACGGCCTAAGGCATTGTTCGAGGCTAGACCCACTTGCAAGCAAAAATGATTTTGGCCCGTATGTGGGTGGAGCTAGTTTACTAGGCTATCACTCTGAGTATGGCATCACATTTATTTCAAAACGCCTGTAAGTAAAATCAACATACTCGCATGTATGTTAAACTACTTCTGCACATGGTTTATCTACAGTACCACCGCACAACAAAATCATTCATGTGAGAGAAACTGCCACTTCGAGAGGAGAAAATCGCTGTCCGCACATGCCAAATCCCCCCACGCTTGCTGTGGATGGTACTCGATATCTCACTACGCACAGGATTTTCTATCCAGCGGCCATAGTCGAGGACGGCTGCACTCTGATTTTCTCCTCGCACGGAGGAAATGTGCTTTGACAGTTCGGGCAGAGACAAACCTCTTCTGTAAGCCTCCTCCTGATTGGAGATCACACGGGAAGTAATGTCAGGAAGCCTATGACTGACAGCTCGTCATCCATAAGTGAAGACTAGAGGCCTTGACAGTTGCGGAGGTTTCTCCAAAAACTTGCGGTACATGGGGTAAGTGGTAAGTGTCAGTGATTAAAAAAAAGATAAAATGTTTGATTAAAAATAACAAAAGCAATTGACAACACATTCAGCTAAACTCCTGCTTTTGCATAACAAATCCAAATTTCCAGTGCATGGCGACAAGCCTGATAAATTATTAGCAACCATGCTCAAGTGTTCTAGGGCAAGGCAAACTATTTCCAGAATTCGAAAACATGACGACGGTATAGTCACAGACCATAGTCAAATTAATAATGCATTAGGGACTTTCATGAGGAGCTCTACAGCTCACAATCACAAACTAATTCTAACATGACTGATAACTTTCTAGCTTTAAGGACCTAGAGAAAAATTTGGCATCCTTCAAGGAACTCAGCAACATATATGTTGCACAGTTCTGACCAGGTATACAGTAAGGGTGCAGCTCCTCCTACTCACAAGCGGCGGTTATGTGACCTCATGTCGTGTTTTAAACTGGAAAGAATTACATGTTCTGTTAAACACTCAACTGGTAAATGTCAAAAAACATGGGGGCCCTTTCTTGACTCATTTCAAAACTTACAATAATGCTCCAGATTAAATTAATGAATTAATGTTAATGAAATGTGTTCAGGGATAGGAATGTAGTACGTGGACCTACTGGGTAGTGATCTGGGTGGGCTAAATGGGATTACTTTGTATGGATTAATTTTTTGTATATTAAATTATTTTATGTGTGTGTTGGATAAATACTTCTTTGTGTTCACAAACTGTATGTGCAAAAGGAAAAAGAAAACTCAATAAAAAGACACTGATTAAAAAAAAACAAAAGCAGAAAATATTTTTAAGAAATGTAAAAAGGGTTGGACTGAAAATGTTACAAAAATGATTTAGCAAGCATAGACAGAAGCCACTTTAAACAAATCTGTTTTTAATATCAACTAAAAGCAACTGAGGGTTTCTGCACTTTTAAAGTTTTTCTGGGAGTATATTCTAGATTTATGGATCATAAGAACTTAATGCTGCTTCTCCTCTTATGTTGCTGGGATTGTAAAGTAGATTTAAGCCAGAGGATGTGGGAAGTCTGGGCGGTCTGTAATGTATTTTGGAGCTAAGCCATTCATTAATATATAGACCAGTAGAAGTATTTCAAAATCTAAACTCTTAGGAACAAGAATCCAGAGTAATAATTTTAACACTGTATTGATGTGTTCCACTTTCTTCGTTTTAGTGAGGACCCTTGCAGCAGCATTCTGGATCATCTGCAACTGTCTGATTGATTTTAAGAGAGCCATGTGAAAAACCCAGTGCAGTAATGATTTGTACTAAAGATAAACACATGAATTAGTTTTTCCAAGTTCCTTCTGAGTCAGTAGTCCTTTAGCCTTCATTAGGCAACAAAAAATATATTTCTAATTGAACAGGCATAAATTTGTTTTTCCAACTTCCAAGTTGATCTTACCTGGAAGATACGGGTTTAGTACCCTGGTGGTTAAATATTACACAGTGTTACTTTTAAAACTATTGTAACTATGCAATATTTAAAAGAAACAAGTAAAGCAAGTAGATTTCTGAGGACAAGGAATCTGTAAATGCTTGTTGTTTGAAAACACCAATAGCTATGCAGGTTAGCCTGTTTAAAAGCAAAAACAAAACATTTAATTGCCTTGTTTTCTATTTTGGTCTAATTTTGTTTGTTTTTTGTATTAAAAGCAACAAGAACAGGATTGTAGATGTGGATATGACCTAATCTTTATTTATTTTTAGAGCAAAATACCTCAGTACATTGTCTAAATTGAATTTTGATTTGTTCTTCAACTTTTTTTGAAAGGCCATGCTTTGGACAGCCCTGATATAAAGCATTCTTTTAAGTATGCATTTTAGTTAGTCAGGTAATCAGAGTAGAAGATCTTACATTTTAGAGCACATTTGATAATTGTGAAGTAGGATAAAACAACAAGATTACTTTGAATTCTTTTTCATTAAACAGACTTCA